TCCTTGTTATGAGCGCGATATTCACTAAGACTTGTACAGCTTTAATTCGGGACTTCAGGTCCGGGATGCACCAAGCTGCGGGCGCGTTTCCTCCAAGGTAAAGTTTTAGGTCATCAATCGAGACTACGCAGGGTTCGTGATTTTCCTCAGCCAGAAAAACGCGTCTAACGGCTCGGACCCTTGTCCAGAGAATGTGCGCAACCTCATCGGGGTCTGCGGCTTGGTATGCCCAAGCAGACCTTCGCGGTCCCAGCTAGACACTTGCGGCCCCCTGCCGAAGACCGGGTTAACGGGTTGATACCCCCGTCGCCCCTCGTCAGGGCGATTCGCTGCTCCACCCGTTAGACTTGTCCACGGGGTAGACGTGCTGGGGCACGGTGGGGCGAGCGACTCAGCCTTTCACCGTCCACTCCCACTGACGTCCGGCCGTCTTGGGACAGCCTCACACGGGGAGATACCATGTACCATCGCTGAGCGATGAGCGTGGGACTCATGGCTCACGACCGGGAAACCCATGGTTTCCGGCTGGCCTCCTACATAATAGTTTGGCGATGCATCCATCAGCCCCAGACCCGCAGTTACTCCGCCATCCTAATTCCGAGGAGCCCGATCTGCCGCCGAGACTTGAGGGGCCTTGGCACTTATCTCCTGTCGGGTAGAACTATCTACTGGCAAGCAGACGCCAAGGACATCATCCTTCGTTGGAAAGGGGACACTGTGACGTGTCTTTTTCAGTGCAGGACGTTTCGGTGCAGTGGCAGCGGACGTACGCTCAGCCACTGCAACACTAGGGGTCCTCACAGCCCCTGCAACCACAGCCGGGTGCCGCCGCGCGGCACCAGCCGCACGCTTGCCTACTGGCCCGGACCTGGTAGCGAGTGGCATTTGCTTAGAGCACAAGCCAACACGACCCTGCCGGAAGTACAGTTACTGCTGTCTAGAATCCACCAGCACATGGGCTGTCTTCCTGCGCGCTCTTTGTGTGAATCCTGGTCACGACACCACTGTGACGTTTGAGCCAGTCACGGCCTCAAAGTGACACAGGTTCGATCGTGGATTGACACGCAGACGCGAGCAGGTACCGAAGACAACAATACCAAGTTGAGTGTTCAAACCGGGAACGCCGGTGCTTTTATTGGCCCGCCGACCAACAGGCCGGTGGCCATAAATATTACACAAACTTGGGCTGAATGCCCAGAAACAGAAACAGTAATCACACAGTAACAAGCAATGCGACTCGAAA